ATGAAAATATCACGGAAACAGTTACCATACTTTATTGCTTAGAGACTAATAACAAGAATAAAAACTGTGTGTGTCCTCTGCATACTTTTTCTCCCCAGATATTGTAAATCTTAGGTTTGTTGGTTTCTGGGATGTGAAAGCTTTACAGATGGAAAGCCAATGGCATTGGTATTCAACTTGCTTGCAGTGTTGCATTCTGGGTACCCGAGATGTGAAGAGCACAGTATAACATCAACTATTTGTAGAACAAATGTTCTCAAGTCCTCTGCTGGTATAAATGCCTACTGGTAATTTTCCACTGGGAATTTGTTAAAATAAAGCACGAAGTCCCACAGTGCACTGGCAACATGCTCTTTCTGTCTTTTGACTCTAGAAAAGGCATGTTAGTGGAGAGATGACGTCATCTTCTTGGCCTCCTTAGGGACCAGGAACAGCCTTGGGGAAGAACACTGTGTTCGTTGCATGTTTTTATTTGCCAGGGAGAGACCCTACCAGTGGTGCAAGAGAGATTGTGGGAAAACACCCAGGGCCAGTGACCCACTCTCAGTGACCTTAATAGCCACAAAGGTAGGACAGGATTCACAGAGGAATCTGGCCACCTAGCATAGATTTGTTTGGGGAAACACTCTGGAATCCAGGGCCCTCTCTTTCTCCACGGATCATCACAAGTGCTGCTTAGCTGAGAGTATTTAAAAAGACTCAATGTTCTCATCTAATATAGCCCTACAAGGGGAGAATTTCTCACCAGGCAACTTCAACAGTGGTTAGCATCCTACAAATCAGTCAGACGCAGAGGCACTTGGAACCTGCCAGAATAGAATGCACACACCTTCTGAAATGCACACATAGACCTAATGCTGGATATCAGAGTATTGAAATATGAGCAATGGAGAAGTGGGGGAGAGCTGAGTGCCCTGGCCATCTGGGCTGGGATCGGTGATCTTACTAAGAGATTGGGGTTGGCGGGGGCCAAGGGGGTGGAGGTGGCTCAACAGATAAAGGTGCTGGCTGCCATCCCTGGGGCCCCATGTGGTGGAAAAAGAAAACCAACTCCTTCAAGTTGTCTTCTGACCTCTAGCACATGCATGCAAACACACAAAAAGTAAATAAGTGTAATAACATTTTGAAAAACGAAAGAGCACCCACCCCCTTAGCCCCCCACCCACGACCTGGCACACCACTTGTCCCCCTTTTACCCCTCTGCCTTCTACCATGTGAGCAATTGTGCCAGCTTGGAAGAAGAACATGAGCCGTCAGACACCATTCTACTGGGTCTTACTGCCCGCCCCCACAACCATGAAAGACAAATTGGTATTGTCTATACGCTATCTAGAAGAGTATACAGTCAAGTCACCCAGTCTTGGGAGCTCTGTTAGAGCATCCCGATAGACCTAGTCAAGACCTCAGGAGATCCTAGAAGCCACGAAAGACTGGTTCATGTCTGCATGCGTGTGTGTGTGTGTGTGTGTGTGTGTGTGTGTGTGTGTGTGTGTTTGTTGTGGAGGTCAGAGGACAGACATGGTTTTGTTCCTCAGAAGATATTCACTATTTTGAGACTGGGATGGGGGTGTCTTGCTGGTCTAAAGTTCTGCAAGTAGACTAGTCTGGCTGGCCAGCAAACCCCAGAGATCCACAGGCCTCTGCATCCCCAACAAGTGTGCACAACGACACCCCACATTTTTTGTGGGGTCTCAAGATCATGCTCAGGTCCTCAAGCTTGCAAGGCAAAAGTTACCAGCTGAGACATTGCCCCTTCTCCAGGCTGCGTTTCAAGGGGCTGGAGTAATCCATCTTCTAGGTGGAGAATCACAGAATAGTTCATTCAAAATTTTGTCCTCTATAAAAAAAAGGGGGGAAAGGATATCATTCCACATTGGATGTTCTTTCTTTTTCCCTATGACTCTTGGGTCAGTGCTGAGTGGATGAAACAAAATGTGATTCAAGGAGACAGTGCAGAGATGAGGCAGTTGGTCAGGGTACAGAGCAGAGCAAGATAAAGACATTCTTAGCTTTGGTGAGGAGGGAGACACAGTGAAAAGAAAAAAGAACAAAGATAGAAGAGAGTTGAAGCTGTCATAATTAGCACCAACTTCCTTGTAAGGAGGTAATCGGCTCAGGTCAAAGGCCGGTTGGGTTGGAGTCTCAAGGTGAGCCAAACAAAATTTAGGAGACTCTAGTTCAGCCCTTTCCTCTTCCCTCCAGCCCCACCACTTTCAGAACTGATTCTGTCCAAAACATTATCAACACAGAGTGCTCAGTGGTGCTTCTTTGAATGCAACCTTGAGCCCAGAAAAATGTCATCTCTGATTCCTTGGACTCTTCAGTGCTCATTGAAAAATGTGTCCCATCATTTTAAATGGTTATGAAAAGGAAGGGGTCCTCAGAGGTCTGGCCTTTCGAGGAAATGTCACCCCACACATGGGTCTTATAGTAGGTGGGACTAAGTGGGAACCAGATCAAAGACTCCCCTGTCTGTTGTTTCTTTCTAGTCCCATGCAGCACCACAGACTGACCATCAACTAGCTCAACAATTTAAAAAAAATTATTAGTAAGCTCCCAGAGTCTACTTCTAAGGGTTTAACACCTTAGGATAAAGATTGGAGGCCACCATCAACCGAGCCCCTGCTCCTTCTACATCTACAGACCTCTAACCCAGCTTCCTTTATGGCCTCATCTACCCCCCCCCAACCCCTCTGGTGCTCTGAGACAGAATCTTGCCCCATCAGCCTAGGCCAGCCTTTAATTCAATATGTAGGCCAGGCTGGTTTGAACTTGTTGCCATCTTCCTGCCTCAGCCTCATAAGCTCTGAGACCATTCTCTCTTCAGCTCTCAATTCCGTCTAAAACCCAGCTGTCATTTCTACTAGAAAACGTCCCTGGACCAGCAGCCTCCTGTTATCTATGCTTCCAGGAGTTCTGTGTGTGTGTGTGTTTAGGACCTTTCTCATCATCTTCCTCACACTGTGGTTATTCTCACATTCTCCCATCTTTCTGTTATATTATAAACTCAATGATGGAGTTTATATCTAATTCCACCTTATACTCTATCGTATTCTCACATAAAATCTGCTATCAGGCCTCCGCATTGATCAGGTTTACATCTGTGGATTCGATCAACTGTAAATGGAAAATATCAGGGGTGGAGCTGAACATGCCGAACATGCTTCTTGTTTTTGCCCCTCCCCCCAAAAAAACCCAATACATTGCAATGCACTGTTTGCATGACATTTCTATTGTATTGGGTACTGTAAGTCATCTGAACATTATCAGTGTGCATGAAGGTTGCAGCATTTTACACAGCAGTCTTACACATCTGCAGAACTTGATGTTGGCAGCAGGCCCTGGGGTCAGTTCCTCAGATAGCGAAGGACAGCTGGATGAAGTGAAAAAAAGCATTCTATTGATAACTGTGGAAGTCGGTGCAGATACAATGCATGCCTGTGATGTCAGCGTTTAGGAGATAGAAGCAGGAGCAGTGCCATGAGTTTAAGGGCTGAGAGTTTTATGCCAGCCTCGCCCATGTAACAAGACTTTGCCTCAAAAACTCAGTATGTCTGTGCCCGTGTTCGTTCAAGTACGTGTGTCTGAATGACTAGTAAGTACCCGTATTAGAATTGTTATATTTTCTGCATTCATGGAACACAAATGCTCTAAATACATCGATGGCCTATCCAGCTCTACATTCACTCACTCACTCTTTTGTTATTCAATTCAGATTTATTGGCTGCAACCCCATACAGGATAGGAACAGCTGTAGCTCTGCATTCAGGCAGTGGTACCCATTCTTGGGTCACTGTCTTTATCATTTTGTTTCTTTTTATTCCAGACAAGAGAGAATGAAGAGGTGCCTGTCCCAGAATGCCACTGTTGGCCAAGAATAAAGTTCGATAGGAATGGCTACCCAGTTGTGGGCTTTTGATAATGAGCTGAATTAAATGTGATTTTTAACATTGATAGATGTGGTCGTGTGAATGTAATTGGCCCATAGAAGACCCATAGAAGGTGTGTCCTTGTTGGAGTAGGAGTGGCCTTTCTGGAGGAAGTGTGTCACTGGAGGTGGATTTTGAGATCTCCTATGCTCCAGCTACACCAGTGAGGTGTCCCCTTCTGCTGCCTGCAGATCAAGATGGAGAACCCTCAACATCTTCTCTAACGCCTCGTCATGCTGGCATGCTTTCCCACCACGGTGATAACGGACAAAAGCTCTGAAACTCTAAGCCAGCCCCAATGAAATGTTTTCTTTTATAAGAGTTGCCTTGGTCACGGTGTCTCTTCACAGCAACGGAACCGGAACAGAGACACCAGAGAACACACACTTTCCCAGATTCCCCTCTACCAACCTGCTTGGAGAGTCTGCTTTAAAAGCCTCTGTAGGGCATGGGGTGTACGCCTTTAATTCCATCCCTTAGGAGGCAGAGGCAGGAGGATGTCTGCGGGTTCAAGCACAGCCTGGTCTACCTAGCAAGTCCCAGGCCACAGAGACGCTATCTCAAAAGGTGAACAAAAAAGAACCTAAGCTATCACATCTCCCACCCCCTTTATCTGCAGACCCCTGCCCTCCCCCGGCATTCGGTCAATGAGCAACACCGCGTCCAGTATTGCAGACTGAAATAACCTCCAACGAAAATCGAACATCAATCCTCTCTGTGTAATTACGCCGACCGGAGAGAAAAGCTTCCAGGTTTGTAAACATAGACACGCATGCAGAAGGTGCAGTGTTCACAAGTTGCAGAACTCGGCTGGCCAGGGTTCTCCTTGTTTCTAGATAATGAGATGACTTTTGAAAGTTTCCGCGTAGGTTACTTTTGAGCTGCATTGTCAGGGAGTGTCAGTTACCCCAGATCTACAGTCTTTCTGAAGAGAGAGATGCATCTGCACCCCTTTATCCTCTTTTCGAGTTGGAGGACATTCGAGTCTGCCCCATTATCCCTCTCTCTGCTTGGATCGCTGTGCATCTCGCGGCTCAGGAGCCTCCAGACCTATCCAGACCTCTTAGCAAACCTGCAGGAGGAGGCGAAGGCATTTCCTGCTTGCTCCTGCAATCGCCTCTGCCCTCCCATCTCCCTTCTCCCACGGCCCATCTGCGCCTCCTCTCTGCTCCCTTTATTGCCACCCCCGCCCTCGGCTGGGTGCTCCCGGCCCCTCCCGTGCGCTTCTGTATTTGGAGCTGCCGGAAGCCGCGGGCGACTCTCCCCGCGAGCAGCGTGACCGACTCGGGCTCCCGTGCAGGGGGGAGGCGGAGGCAGCGCCGGGCCTGCGGGAGGAGAGCGCGAGTGGCCGAGCCTGCTTTGCATCACCCAAGCCAGGACCTGGGCTCCTCAGCAGGTCAGGCTGGAGCGCGGGGTGGGGGGAGGGGGACCAGAGCGAGTGGGGTGGGGGGCTTGGGGAGCCCCGAGGCTGGCGCTCCCAAGTTGCGCGCTCCAGGTGGGGTGGGAGATGGCCGGGACGCGGGGAAGAAAGGAGACGTGGACTCAGGGATCTGAGGCCACCCAGATGTGAGGACAAGGCAAGTGAGGACCTGGGATGTGGGGATCCAGGCGCTGGGGCGGTCCTCATCTGGGTCAGCGCAGCCCGGCGCTCCAGCTGCTCGCCTGGAGCAGAGGACCGCGAGTTCCTGGCTGGAGGGCCACTCTTGGCCTGTCAGCCGACAGCTGCCTCACCGTGGGTCGGTCTAACTTCGAGGGGTTTCCACTGCTCTGCTCTGAGCCTCCCAAGGGTTCCTGGGTGGGTGTCATTGAACTAGATCTTGCCACCTCTGTCCGAAGGTGCTGGAAGGAAAGGGACCTGGCTTCTCTGCAAAATCTGACTTGAGGCCATGAGTCACTTCTAAAAAATGCAAACGCAACTGAGGCTTTGAAGGGACCGCTCTGAAAATGGTACCCTGCAGCTGCTCTCTGACTGCCCTTTAGGGGCGTGTTTGTGACATCAGTAATCTTGTCATCACCTTTAGGCTGATGGTCTGCCAAGCACGCAAGAATATTTGTTCTCATCTGCACCCCAAAGAGTAATAGCAGAATCCATGCGTTCTTTAAGTGGGTCTGTGTTTTTAGGACGTTCAAGACGTGTATTTAGAATTAGGTCCAGAAAGACTAAGCGGAAGCGAAGATTGAGCAGCCAAAACACAAAGCCTTTACCTAAGTACTCAGGAGAATGCAGAAACCAAAAAAAAAAAAAAAAAAAAAAAAAAGCTTATTTAGGATAAAACTGAGTTTATCAGAATTGCTTACAGAGAAAGAGCACTGCGCATTTGCTGCCTGTGTCGATTTCATTTGTTTGTTTGGATGGTTGGTTGGTTGGTTGGTTGGTTGGTTGGTTGGTTGGTTGGTTGGTTGATTGCTTGCTTGGTTGGTTGGTTGGTTGGTTGGTTGGTTGGTTGGTTGGTTGATTGCTTGGTTGGTTGCTTGGTTGGTTAGTTGCTTGATTGCTTGATTGCTTGATTGCTTGATTGTTTGGTTGGTTGGTGACAGAGCCTCCCTATGGCACTCCAGCCTAACTTCATACTCACAGTCGCCCTACTTCAGCCTCCTGTGTGCTGGATCACAGGTGTGCACCTCCACACCTGGCTGCTCTTTTAATCCCAGGGATTTGTCTTCCAAGTCCTGCTGACATAGCTGGGACCACTTTGTGGGAGGTTGCCTTGGTATCTTTGGAGTGATTTCTGTTCGCTGGCATTTTAATTAGACCACAAGCCTGCTGAGGGCAGGGAGGGGTTCGGGTACTCCATAGCTCTTCACCGTTATGGACCGAGGGCACATTAGAAAATGGTAGCGAAAGCTGGTGGAAATAATTAGCTCACCAGCTTTGCATCTAGAACGCACTTTCTTGAGAAGACTGCACGTTTTCTTTTTCAAGAAAAGGCATTTCTCCATGAATCCTCAAATGTGAAAATCCTTAATAAAGTTAGGATTAGGTGATGACACAAGGATCAAGAGGAGAAGAAGCTGATTGTGAGAAATGACGACAGTGATCAAGCGATCTTGCACGCAGGAAGTCAGTTTTTGTACTGGTCATTGGGGCAAGACGTTGTTTGGCTTGTTGGTGTGACACAGGGTGGGTTCAGCCTGGCTAAAGAGAGGGATGGTAAATAAGAGGCTTTGCAGACCGCAGTAACCACTCAGCTTGGCAGTTGTAAGTCAGAAGTGGCTGAGGAGAATATGGAGGAAAGGTACTGCCAAGCTTTGTTGTATTAACAGTTTAATTGATTTCCACCAGAAACAATTTTCCCATCTAACACAGACACACACACACACACACACACACACACACACACACACATGCTCACACACACTTAGTTTAGAGGAAGAGGGATGACGTTTGTTTGTTTGTTTGTTTGTTTGTTGTCCTTCTGACAGTAGAGGGCTCCTGACCATCTTGGGCTAGATTCTCCAACTGCTTGAATTATGCCCAGAAATTAAATACAAGAAGAACATTAACTTATTTTGTTTTGAATATCTCTTAATATATTTTTATCATGATGTTTAGTTTTATTCTTAATTCATCAGTTACATATTATACGCCAGAATATGCTGAGACTATGTAAGTTATGGTCATTATATTTAAAGGAGCAACTGTGAACTTCTTACCAAGTTTAGAAGTGGGACTTTGAGAACAAGAGAGTTATGAAAAGGTAACTCTTAAAGTGTGAAAAATTTTTATAAGATCATATCTGTGATAAGGGATTCAGATCCACAATATATAAACAGCCTTTCTAATTTACTAATAAAAATATGGTCTAGTATCAAAATATGCCAAAGAAGATAGATAAATGGCCAGTAAAGCCTATAGAAAGATGCCCAACGTTCTTATGCATCAGGTAATTGCAAATCAAAACCACAATGAGATCTCATGCCATATTCACTAGTGTTTAAAAAATCAGATAATCCCAAGTGCTGGTGAGCGTGTGGAGGAATTGCAGCCCTCAAAAACTACTGACAGGAATATAAAATGATGTGTTTAACTTGAAATTTTGTGGTCCCTTGAGTTAAACACAGAGTTGCTGTCTGACCTAGCAATTCCACTGTAAGTCTACGGTCAAGAGAAATGCAAACACAGCCATGGAAAAAGAAACCTATATAAAGGGCTAGTGGTGTAGCTCAGTGGAGGAACATTTGTATACCGTGAGCAAAGCCTTTGGTTCAAATCTCAGTGTCACATACAAAACTAAAATCTAAAAAGGAACAACAAAAACTATATCCAGAGGTCCATAGATGCATCGATGATAATAGCTAAGAGATGGAAACAACAAAAAAAATGTCCGTCTACTGATGTAGGAAAATACGATCTAGCCACGCAGTGGGATATTCTTAACAGGGAAGGCAGAGCTGGGGAAATGGTTCAGTGTTTGCTGCTCTATTGTGGAGACCTGAGTCTGAGCCTCAGCATCCACATAAAAGCTGGGTGCAGTGGCTCGTGTCTGTAATCCCAGCACCAGGAACGCAGATTCAGTGAGAGACCCTCTCTCAAAAAATAAGGGGAAGATATCTAATGTTGACCTCTGGCCTCCACACACATTCCCACATGTGTGTACGTGAAGAAAGGGGTGCGGGACTGTCACAATGCTACCTTGTATACCTTGTAAGCCTTGTTAGCCTCCCACTAAATGAACGAAGCCAGGCACGAAAGACCACACAAAGCATGAATCCACTCCTGGGAAAATATTTTTGAGAAATTTTATCAAAAGATCAGTTATTCTTTAGGATGGGGGAGGTGAAGGAGGTACGAAATTGCTTTCTTCTATTTTATGTTAGTTTTTTGAGGCAAGGTTTCTCTTTGTAGCCCTGATTGTCCTCGGACTTGCTTTGTAGACCAGGCTAGCCTTCAGCTCCACCTGCCTCTGCCTCCCTTGCAGGGTAAAAGTCGAGTGCCGTCACCACCCGGCTTCATTGTTTATTTTTAAATATAATGTCTGATGGCGTTTTCAGAATTTTATATATGTATACACTATATTTTACCACATTCACCTCCCACCCCTTCCCCTAACTCCTTCCGTATCCAACCCCACCCTCTTCCCTCTGCCAAGTTTGTGTCTCTTTTACTTACAGCGCATTCATTCCAGTTTGTACTGCCCACATAATCTCCGGCGCAGGGCCATCCACTGGAGTACTGTCAACTGACCACAGCCCATTATCCTTAAAGGAAACTGACCCTCCCTCCCTTAGAGACCATCCACTGTCAATAGCTCCTTAGTTAGGAATAGGGGCTCAGAAGGGCCCAGCCCCCAGCAGGCTGGAACGGAGACTGTCTTGATCGAGTACAGGTCTTGTTCAACATCCGAGGCTGCTCTGAGTTCCAGAGCACAGCCGTCCTGTCATGTCCGGAAGGCTGTTTCACAGTGGCCCCCACCCCACCCCAATGTTTGTTTTCGTCTTTCTCCCTCCTCCATGGCCCCCGAGCTCGTTCTGAGCTGATAAAAGGGTTCTGAAATGGTGGTAGTTGCACAAATCTGTGAGTTTTTATAAAAATGATTGAATTGGGCACTCTTAAGTGTGAGTTGAGTGCTGTATGTGTCATATCTCAAGCAGAACGCTAAAGTAGAGGGCTTAGGAGAGAGAACTAGCTTGTTCAGCTCTTTGCCTTCCCTATCCTGTGCTGCTTCCCGGTTCCCCCCAACCTTGAATTTTGCTGTAAAACAATTTTCAGCCTGTGTATGAGATCCTAAACTAGTATCATTTAGATCTTATCAGTTTTTCGTATACTTTAAAAGGTATATATAATCTCATATTTTTTTTCTGTCACTTTTTGCTTGTTCATTTGGTTGGTTGGTTGGTTGGTTGTTTTTTATTTGTTTGTTCTTGACATAGTATCTCAGGGAGCCTAGGGTGGCCTTGCACTCCCTTATAAAGCTGAAATTGGCCTTGAACTTGTGATCCTCCTGATTATGTCTCCCAAGTACTGGGATGAGGGTGTGTGCTACTGTGCCCTGCTAGACCTCATTTTCACCATTACGTCTTTAAGAATAACCTGTATTGTCACAGGAAGCTATGCTATAACCTTTGATAAATGCTCCCTCATCACTAGGGTCTTTCTCCAGCCTACAGGCAAATAGGCTGTTTCCCAAGGTTTCCCTTTTCCAAGAATGCTGCTTTGGAGACCTTTTTTATATGTCTTAAGAGTGAGTGTGTATATTGTGTGTGTGTGTGTGTGTGTGTGTGTGTGTGTGTTCAGTGCGTGTGTTTAAGGGGTACATGTTGACATATGTGTGCAAATATGGAAGGCAAACAACCTCATATAGTGTTCTTAAGCACCATTCATCTTTTGTTTGAGACAAGGTCTATCTGGCCTGGAACTTACACACTAGGCTAGGCTAGGCAGGCTGTTCTGAGATT